TCGCATTTGCGAGGTTTTTGTCACAAATGCGACCTTAGCAGGGTAATTCCAGGCTTCGCATTTGCGGAGCTTTCTCCGCATTTGCGAACCCAGTGTCGCAAATGCGACATCTGTAGCCTGCTAAAAACTGAGTATTCCGAGTTTTTTCTCATTTTTCATATTTTTGAACCCTAACTCCGAGAGTGGGCAATTTTGAGAGAAGATTTTCATGCCAAATCATTGGTAAGTGTCTCTAATCAATTTCCAACTATATTTTGTGATTATATCTTAGATTTAATATCAAATTCATTAGAATCTAAAGGAAAATTTGGGGAAAATTGTGAAATCTTTCAAAATAAAATGATGTTTGAAAGATCAAATGGTATCGGAATTGGATAACTTTTGTATGGGTGAACTCGTATCGGAATGGGTATTCAATTTTTGTAAATTTTGTCGGGGTCCGAGGTGGAGGCTCGGGGAGTTAACTTTTGTTGACTTTTTGCAAATTGTATAAGAATCATAGTTTTATTAATTGGAATCATTTTCTCTTGCATTGTTTGATGTATTCAAGTCGTATTTGGTTAGATTTGAGCCGTATAGAGGTCTTTTCACTCGAGAAGTGCATTTTAGAGTATCAGTTTGTCATCTTTGAGGTAAGTATCTTGCCTAACCTTGTGTGGGGGACTTCCCCTTAGGATTGAGTCTTCTTTGCTAATTGTAGTCCGTGCATGCAAGGTGATGAGTGTGTGCTCGGACTTATTTGTGGGAAATATGCTCTAGGGTTCTTAGGTCCTTACGTTCAATATGTGGAAAGTATTTCGTTATGATTGGGTTTAATAATTGCTTATATTGTCTCTATATGCTCCATATGATGTTGTTAGCTTTCCTCTAATTCTTACGTGTTGCATTGACCCATAATTGCCTTAATTGAAGTGATTGCCTTCCTTATTGTTTTGATACTTCTTGATTGTGAGTTCCTCTATGACTTCATGCAAATAGGTTACATGCCCAATTGTTTTGGTTACTGGTGTAGTTATCACGTGCTTATTATGTCTTGTTGTTTAGTTGAGGTTTCATTGTGAAGTTAATTGTTGGTACAAGTTTGGTTATAGATGATTCCTTGCCGGGACATATTTAATTCTTACTGTTGGTTCCCTTGTCGGGATGTGTTTATTCTTGTTGTTGACTCCCTTGCCGGGATATTGTTGTTTCCTTATTATTTTCTTGCCGGGATTCTTTTGTGATTGGTGTTAATTTGTATATTGGGATCGGGTTGCACGCCGCAACAATATCATATGGGATCGGGTTGCACGCCGCAATAATATTATATGGGATTGGATTGCTCGCCGCAATAAGGAGTAATAAGGGTGGACAGATGGGGTCGGGTTGCACGCCGCAACATCATTATATGATTTGGATCGGGTTGCACGCCGCAGCAATATTATATGATTTGGATTGGGTTGCACGCCATAACAGTACTATATGGTTGGGATTGGGTTGCACACCGCAACAAGGTAGAATAAAAGTGAATATTGAATCTTATGGTGAGAACGAGAGTAAAAGCACGAAGGGTGATGCCGTGCACTTTCTGCTACTGTGTTTATTTGTTGTTATCAATTCAAGTGTTTAAACCGTTTAAATTCCTTTATTAATGTGATCCTTTGTGTTAGAACCTACAGTGTTTTTAATAACTCAACGTGTGTATGTGTGTCTGTGTATATATATACATTCCAATACTTCAAACTTCAATAATTGTTACAGCCTTAATTCAATTAGTTTCTCAATTATATACCCTTAAATCGTCTGAGGTTGTATTTTACTTAAAAAAGAATTTCTATTAAGTCTTAAGTTATTAACTTTCATGTTAAAAGTAATAATCCATTCGATGTTGTATTTTAAATTAAAAAAAGGATACTTTCTTTACTCAAATGATTTCAAAAGAAATAACTTCATCTTTTCTCGTTGGTTTTTCTAATTAGTTTAGAAGTTGTAATTTTACTTATATTAGGTAAATGAGACTTCTTAGACATATTGAGTGTATTGTACGGACATTATGTATTATATAGCATGTGGATTTTGTTGTAAAAAATGAGATAGAAAAATAAGGGGGGCACAAGGTGCCCTGTGTGCCGAAGGTTCAGAAGTTGAGATTATGATATGAGAAATCGAGGGTTGAGATGGTCGGGAATGTGTGCTTGACATGACGTGATTGATTGAGTTGGCATGACCTTCTTTATTTGAATACAAACATACTTGTCTCTGTTCCGGTTATGTTAGTGTTGTTTTACTTGGTTTTCTGATTTATTTGGTTATTGTTCGTTACTACACGTGTTCTCTCTTTACTGTTCCTACTGCTTGTATTTTGATTTGTCTCCGCTGTTGGTATTGCTTTGTTAACTTTATCTCGATATTTTATTATCATATCCTGTTCATTTCATTTGACCAGTAGGTGTCTTGACTGTTTTTCGTCACTACCCCACCGAGGTTAGTCTTGATACTTACTGGGCACCGCTGTGATGTGCTCATACTACACTTCTGTACATTTATGTGTACAGATCCAGGTATTGATCGATAGTAGCTGTGCGGGTCATCGCGGTGGAGACTCACGATAACCTGTTGCTGCGTTCGCAGGCCTCGAAGTCACTTCGTTTGTAATTACGTTCCATTGATTCCTTCTCGTTATGGAACAGTGTTGTATTTATTTTATATAGCTACTCTTAGAAAGGCTTATGACTTGTACCACCGGTTTTGGGAAGTGTGATTTATTGAGAGTTATTTAATTTGAAGTCAGTAAATGTTAATATTATTTTTGTAAATGTTAGACTTACCTAGTTTAAAGACTAGGTGTCATCACGACTCCTTCGGAGGGATTTTGGATCGTGACATAAAAGAGAACACCCCAATCAAGCCCGAAAAAACTAAAGCATACCTGATCATGGAAATCACTTTTATGCACAACCACAAAGGGAAGGCAACACCTTCTTTGAGAAAAAATAATTTACCAAAAAGAGTGAGTTACATGGAATAAAGTGCTAATTGGAGCGAGCAGTTTATAAACCATTGCCTTCTTTTTCTTTCTCATAAAGTGGGCAACAAAATTACCAAAAGATTCAGATTTATTTGCTATAAACAGTAAATTTGAGAATATAAAATATAAAGATACAGAAAACATCAAACAAATATGAAAAACCCATAAAAATCTCTAAAACAAAAATGGAAATTTACCTTGGCAGCCAAGAGAAAGAAGTAACAGAGAGATATTTAGTTGCGGAAGTGGGATATGCTAGTCCGATTAGAGTAAAATCATAAAACCTACAAAAGTAAGAAATAAAAACGAATAGAATGCAAATTAATTCCGAGCCCTTACTAATTATCGTTCACATGATATGACGACCGCATAAAAATCAATCATGGTACCATATTTTACTGGAAAATGAGGGAAAAAATGTATCGACAGAATAGTAGAAGATGTAGAGACCGTCATGTCCATTTCCAAAATTTTAATCAGCAAAAAGAGAAGTAGATGAAATATGTGATCTGAATAGGAGACTCATGAATTGAAGGTGGATGTTACATTATCCAAGGCCTCAATAGATTTGTAACTTTTTTTAATTATAAAATGTGAATGTTTAGTATTCATTTTTTCCATTAATTATGAAAAGAAAGTGTAGTAACGACAATATATTCTTAGAACGACACAATTGTGCATTAAAGGGTGGTAATTTAACGATCATTTCTCATAACTATAGATAAATACAATTAAATTTATGGTGTAAATGCATGAATATATTGATTTTTTAACATGAAAAAATGAGTTAAGATGACAAAAAATTGAGATAAAAGATAAATATATTTTTAGCCTATAAGAGGTGCCAAGTCAGCATTTATTATATATATATATATATATTAGTGGAGAAACTACTCCACTAACTAAGTTATTGAATGAAATAAATTACATATAAATGATGATGGAATAAGACTAGAGTAGATGTCTTTCATTTTAGTCTAAGAACTCAAGAGATAAAGTGAAAGACATGTACTCCAGTGTCATTCAATCATCATTTATATGTAATTTATTTCATTCAATAACTTAGTTAGTGGAGTAGTTTCTCAACCCCAAAGGCCAAAGCAAAAGAAGAAAAAGAAAAAAAAAATGTATACTACTCCCTTTATATATTTTTTAAAAAACGATAACATTTGGAACATATGCGTAAAAATATGTAATTTTATATGTGACATGAAAATGTATTTAATATTGTTTAATGAAATAATAAAATGTATAGAAAATTTTATATTTTTTAGTTTCACAAATAATATATGCTCTATTCTATTCATGTGACACTTTTTTCCTATTTAACCTATTCAACACTGACTAACACATTTTTATATTTGAAAATAAAGTAACTTTTTACTTTTTGTTTTACCCTTCGTGATAGCCAAACAAATATTAACGGCATGTTTATGATCACAAGTTCAATTTATTTGTTTCTTAATAAAATATCCATGATTAGTCAATCACGACTACATAATGTTGTACTTTTTTAATAATTCAAGCGCCGAAGAGGAAGGAAAAAAAACTAAGAACCTGTTTGGACATAAGAATTTTTTTGAAAAATTTTCACTTTTTTCAAAATCAGCGTTTGACCATAAAATTTTCAATTTTCATTTGAAGATGAATTTTGGAATTTTTTCAAAATTTGAAAAACTCCAAAAAACTATTTTTCAAAATTTTCACTCAAATTACTCATAAAACTTCAAAAACAACCCAAAATTATATTCATATCCAAACACAACTCTAATTGTTTTTCACTTTTTTTTTTTTTTGAAATTTTACAATTCTTATGGCCAAACGCCCACTAATTATCTTGTGATTTTATCACTGTTTGGGAGTATATACACGTCAATGAGAATTTGAGAACACTAATAAATTGCAATTTTCCCATTTAAAAAGCACCTGAAAGAGAGAAAAAAAGGCTGGTTATTTCCAAGCATTTTGAATTTCCCGCGCAAAACAGACCAACATAAAAAGTGTTCATTTTTCATCACTACCATTAACTTCCGACGCACGCATATGCCACCGCCATGACCTCCACCGCAACCAAAAATCCCTCCGCCGTCCGCCACCATCAACCGCCACCACCACCATCATTGACCGACGTAGACATAGTTCAATTAGCTCAACTATATCACCCACAATCCTCCACTCCACTACCCCAATTTCTCCTCTCCGTCGACTCTCACCAAACCCTCATATCCTATCTCCACTCACGCGCTTCTTCTCCAAACCCTTCACTCGCCGTCTCCGAATACCTCTCAGCTCTCCTCTCCCTTACGCAACTCCACTCTTCACTTTCCCCACTCGTCCCTCTTCTTCTTTCTTCCTATATTTCCCTTTTCACTTCCCACAAAATCCCCCACGATAAATCCTCTCTCTCCATTTTCCAACTTTTCGTGTCCCATATAGAAACAGTCCAAATCCATGATCTAACGACAATAGTCGATTTGATTATATCTTATTTACCTCAGATTATTGGGTCTGAGGATACTCATGTACTAACTATACTTGCTAAATGTATAGAGCTGATTAGGTTTTCAAATGATGTTGATAAGCCTTTGGAATATGTCGATAAGGTGTTTGATGAAATTCTTAGCTGTGATTGGAGTAAGGTTTTGTTGTTAAAATTGGTAGAAAGTGTTAGGGATTTGAATTTCATTGGGAAGGGGAAGAGGAGGGAATTTTTGGAGCGGGTGTTCAGTGGAATTAGGAATGTGGACATGCAGGATTTGCCCGGGTTGGTGTATCAATTGTTGGTATTGGGATCAAAGGGTTTTGGTAAGAAGGAAGTCATCGAAGGGATTGTGATGTATTTTGGTGGGGTGAAGTCAGGTGGTTCAATAATGAGACAAGTCGAAGGGACTGTGTTGCTTCATGTTAATTTTGCTGTGAAGCAGGATCCTTCTTTAGGACAAGAGGTGTTAGGGCTAGTGAGGTCAGATTATCGGGTATTTAATCATTTTACTGTTGCAATATTGTTGTCAGTTGCTAGAGTTAAGAGACTCACTGACAGCTCCATTGCGGTTCTAAAAACATCACTTTTTGCTGCTTATAAAGACTTGAAATTTGCCAGGTACTTTTTGCATCTGATGACTATGGTAGAAGTAATACTGTTTCTTCCAATTTATATGATATTAATTACTATATAAACAGCTTTTTTACAGTAATTTTTTTGAAACATGTAAATATTTGTAATTAAAATGCGATATAATTTTATAATGTTCATATAGTTTAGGAAAATTATGGAATCAACGTCCTAACTGAGACCAGAAATTATATAGTTTTACCATGTACTTCGTACTATGTTATTCTTTTGGATGAGGGATTATTTGTCTGTACAAGTTTAAGCCTGACTAGGATCCATCCCTAGAATGTAGAGGAAGCTATTCCATTAAAGTGTGGACTGTTGCTAAACTTTAAAACTTTTTCCATGGTCATTGATATCATATTTGCTAAAAAGAGTGATACTCCTAACGCCATCATTAATTCTCTAAACTGTTGCTGATGCTACTGCCGTGTTCCATAGTAATGTTGTTGCATTTCAGGAGCTGTAAATGGCTATCATCTGACTTGAAGGAACACTATTTGCATACTGCCAGAAACATGGAGAAGGCTGTGCTAAGAGCTGTAAGATCCTTTGACTTTTTACCTCATGCATGTAAATACATAAGTATTCCTTTGCATGCCTTTGTGATTTGTGAAAGGAGATTGCTCGGAGGTTCTTCCACTACGCATTGAGCAATCATCCATACATTCCTGATCAGAATAAAATATGAGAAAGAAGACTGCATGATTTCTTTGATATGCAAGAAAAATGATAAGACATAAGATACAGTTCATTGTTAGCGCTATAAACTTGGTAGCCTTTTTGCAAGAGTTGCCCAACATCTATATCCTGGAGTTTATAGCTGCAAACAGACTGTTCTGTAGATGATTGCCTGTGTCATCGCCTACATATTTCCTTTATAGTCCTCTCAGTAAGTCATGGGTTTATTATGTCATTTTTCTTTATCAATAGGTTAGTGAGAGCAACTGCGGAAGAGAACACGTAGTGCCAAGTACCGTACAACTTGGATTTGTGTTGCTTGAAGGAATCGAAGAAGGAACCAAAAATTATGAAAAGTCTGATGATATGATAGGTCCTGACAAGCTAGGTACTCAGGTTCTCAAGAGTCTATTTGAGGTTCATGATATGGCAAGAAACGAGGTCAGTATGAAAGGTCTATGTTCATCCAACCTTGGCATCATTTTCCAAAAAGTCTCGTTCTTAATATTGTCAATAGATCTTCTTGTATCTGAATTCTAATGTACAAGGACTGGACGCTGCAAGTTATGATTACTTACACTTGCTGATTTCTTGCAGATAATAGAGCAATGCAAACTACGTATCCTCTCTTTGAAGCCTGAACAAGGCTTTCCTGTTATAAGGTGATTGCAATTCTTAGTTAATGATTTTGGTCCATGCTTTTTGTTACTGTTTACCAATAATCAACTTATTTGTCCTTCATAGACTGCTTGGTTGTCTTATATGTACTTATCCATACCCAATGTTGGAGCACATTTCACATCTGAAGGAACTGTTGGATTATTTCATATTCATGAATGAAAAGGTCTCCTCTCATCTTGTTGCTGCCCTTTTGCCTCTAATCAGATCAAGCCATGATCTTCAGGTACTCATTGATATCTTATTGTTTCTTCATATTGTCGACTATGTATTCAGATATTGAAAAACTTAAATAGTGTACTGGAACTTAAGGATATCGCAGATGTACAATAGCAAAAATAAACTAATCGTTTCTGTTGAGAAGGATTCAGAATCAGTTAAGAATCTAAATGAAGCTGTTTACTATCTTCTTTCAACGAACTATAGAATTGAACATGTCAACTTTGCTTCCTAATTCACTCAGTACTCTCTCTCGTCTCTTGCTGTGGCGAATAGTTAACTCCATATTCTTCATTGGAATCACATCTTTGAGGTTAAAATCTACATCCTTTTCTACTTCTCCTTTGTTAATTATCCTATCTTGTTAATGGTGCAGGATTATACCATCTTGGTCTTGCGTAAGGCAATGTTTAGACGAGAAGACTCGATCCGTCTTGCTGCAACAAGTTCAATTATCAATTTGATATTGGCTGAAAAACAATCAAAGAAAAATGGACCATTTTCGTGTCAAGACTCAAGCAGTCAAGCGAGTAGCAGCCAGCAAGCTGAAGTTT